GTAGCGAGCTCGATTTTGGATGAGAATTTAGATGAGAAATCCCTCAATTTTGAGAAAAAACGCCAAAAAATCGGCGCCTGCGGCGGGCCAGCCTCCGGCGGCGCCTGCGGCGGGCCGCTGGGGCTTCCTCCCCAGACCCCGTTTACACCCGAGCTATGCCCCACGACCTGAGCCGGAGCCCCCGCGCCACGCTCGCTGGCGCAACAGAAGGACGCCGACTGATGTGTGTGCTGCACGTCCTTCCTACGCTCCTCGGCCTCACTGCCGGCCCCGCCACGCCGAGCCGCCGAGCGGACATCGATTCGCTCGCTGCGCGTGCCGCGGCGGCGATGCGCGACGGGTTTGCGCACGTCGAGCAAGGCTGGCTCGCAGGCGACGCACTCGTCGAGGCGCGCGAAACCATGGTGCACGTGCTCGCCGACATACCTCAGGCGGGCGACGACCTGGATTCGATCCAGACCGATCTGCTCGAGCCAGCGTTTCGCGCCAGCGTTTCGCGAGACGGGGAGCCTCGTCATCGACGCCTGGTACTACAACAAGGTCCCTGGCGTGAGCAACTGGATGACTCCTTTTGAGGAGGGCGCGGCGGGAGGGCGGGTGCGCATCCCGTCGCACCTCATCCTTCACGCCGGGTTCGCCATGCCGCTGGCTGTCGCACCTGCGCAGCGGGCTGCGGGGAAGAAGAAGAAGAAGGCCTGGGGGCTCCCTGAGGCCAAGGCGGAGGCGGTGGCTAAGGGTGCGGTGGTGGCGTCGGCACAGGTGCGGGCGGGGTGCGTAGAGGAGTTGTCACGCCGCGACGAGTAGAGACCTATACATGTGTCTTGAGCGTAAATCGACCGCCCCCTCGCAGCGTGGGGCTACGGCGCCGGCGCGCCTGGGTCTCCGCTCGCCGCGACGCGACACTGGAGACGCCGCCGCCGACGACCATCGCCGCTTGCGACTCGCGTCGGGCCACGGGTAGTGAGCACCTTCCAGTCCGGAAGGAGGGATGAGAGCGGCCACGTGGCTCGGTTGTGCTACTGTGTGCCTTGTGTGCCGCCCTCGGCGTTTCACAATGCAGGGTTATCAGCCGCGGTCCGTGCGAGCGACGCGCTGGCACAACCCGCTCGCACGCCCGCAGCGGCACACGCGCGGCGCCGCTGTGGGAAACCTGGCCTCTTCTGGGGCTAGCTGAAGCTACGAGCAACACCTCTGCCAACTCCCGGCGTTCCCCGACGCGCAGCACGCCCACGGCAGCTCACCGCGCACCCGGGAAGGGGGGCGCTGTCGTCTTGGGGCCCAGCTGCGCGAAAAACACGTCATCGACTGAGGACCGCCTCGTTAAAGTTGGAGCCGGCGAGCTTTGCGGAGGCGAACGAAGACGACTCAACCACGGCCGCCTGAAAGATGGCGCCGCGGAGGTCGGCGCCGCGAAAGTCGGCGCCGACCAGGGCGGCCTCGAGGAAGTCGACCCCCAGCGCGTCCGCCGACCGGAAGGTAGCGCCGTCGCCCGACGCGCGGACGAACTTCGCCCCCTTAAGGCGCGTGTGGTCCAGGTTGGCGCAGTCCATGTTGACGCCCGTAAAGTCGACGCCCTCGAGGTTGCGGCCCGATAAGTATTTTTTGTCGTATTTTTGGAATCTGGCCCCCCGGACGCAGCCCGCACCGACACGACTCCCCCCACATGTTTCTGAGATCTCTCTAGC